TGACTGAGAAAGGGACAGCCTACTTTGTCAACTAAGTGATCATAATTTAGAGTTTTAGCAGATAGTGAAAATCAAGAGAAATCTGGGCTGGTTTCAGGATAAGTCAAATTAGAACATGGCTTGGTTGACAGTTTCTAATGTGCAAACTGAATGTTTCTTCATGATTCATGTCTTCCCAAATGTAAACATCCTCATCCACTTTTACATTTATAATGGTTATAATTATTTAAATAATAAAGAGTTTGCTTATTACTTAGTTAGTCATTTACATACACTCTTGCAAAGATGAGAACTTAAAGCCAGTATTTTATCATCGCACACATTTCTGTCTTATAGCTTATGTAGATGAAATATATCTGCAAATATGTCAGTTTATTTTACTGTCTTCACAATTTCTAGGATAATTTATAAATTAGTGTGTGCTTGTTTGCTTTTGGGAAATGCTGGACTAGGTACTCAGGCCAACCTTCCTGTAGAAGCAAGACATTGATATATATGTACGTAATCTCATAAATTTGAGCTGGGAACCTGAAACTTACACCTTCGGGGTAATGATGTCTTTGCGAGTGTAATGAAGAAAAAGATTTTTATATGAGAAAAGCATTGTGGATTATCTGAGTAGGTCCTAAACCCGAGGACAAGCATCCTTATAAAAGACACACGGAAGAAAGAGAGAAAAGAAGCAATATGACCACAGAGGCAGAAATGAAAATGATGTAGCCACAAGTTCAAGAATGCCTAGAGTCATCAGAAGCAGAGAGAGGCAAGGAACAGACTATCCCCTGGAAAATTTGGAAGGAAAATGGCCCTACTGACACCTTGATTTAGACTTCTGGCCTCCAGAGCTGCAGGGGAATAAATTTCTGCTGTTAAAAGCCACTGAGTTTGTGGCAATTTGTTACAGCTGCCTGGGGCAGGTAACTAAAGCTGAATAACTCAGACCATCAGTCTTGAGAGTAGAGAGGTAAATGCTTTAGATGACAGGCTGTCCCACGTGGTAGCAAAGCTCAGATTTTGTGTTTGGACATTCTATTCACATACATATTTTATTTTCACCTTCCTTCTGCTTACTGCCATGGATTGATTTAATGTTTTCCTGGTCACAAAGAAGCATGAGCTGTGGACTTGCTGGAAAACAGATTGATGCTTTCAAAATAGATTGGAAAAGTAGTTGAGCTGGTGGTACCCGAGCAGCAAAGAACAGGAATCCTTTTCTCTAAAGAAGAACAGTGGGGTCACACCAGCCATTTCTGGCTTACTTCACTTAGAATGATAATCTCTAGGTCCATCCATGTTGCTGCAAATGGCACTATTTCATTTTCTCTTTATGGCTGAGTAGTATTCCATTATATATAAACATATATACCACATTGTTATCCATTTGTCTGTCAATGGACATTTAAGTTGCTTCCATGGCTTGGCCATTGTAAATAGTAATACTGTGAACATTGGGCTGCCTGTATCTTTTTGAATTATCGTTTTCTCCAGATATATGCCCAGAAGTGGAATTAGTGGTTCATATGTTAACTCTACTTTCAGTTTTTTATAGGGAATCTCCATACTGTCCTACATAGCGGCTGCAACAATTTACATTCCCACCAACAGGGTAAGGAGGTCTCCTTTTTCTATACACCATCTCCAGTATTTATTACTTGTGGATGTATCTTTTGAATTTTTATGACATTCTTCATCTTATTGCTCTTCTCCTGATCTTAAGCCCTGTCATTTCCGATCTGTTCCGTTAGCTGCTGTTCTTTTTTTCTCTGACGCTTCTGAAATCATCCCATCACTGCTAAAGAGTGATATTCAGAAAGCACAGAACGAGTTAGTTTATGCTTCTGATGATGACTTTATCCCTCAGTTGAATAGCTTTCAATGTTTCCCCATGGTCTACAGGATAATGTTCAAAATGTAAGCAGGACAAACTCAAACCTCCAAGATCTGTCTCCTGTTTGCCTTCCCAGTGTTGCCCACCCTCACATCCCTGAACACCCCGGATGCTTGCGCCATGATGACCTACTGGTGGTCCAGCACTCCACATCCTATTCTATCACTGTAGCTTATGGTGTTCACTTGTGGTTTTCCCACTTTTTCTGTTTGGCTAATGTGGGCCACTTTGGAAGGCAAAGTCTTACCTTTGAGCTTGAGTTAAATTTCACAGTACTGCATGTCAAAAAAGCAGATCTTAAATCCACAAAGACCAATAGTCTATTATGCTTAATTTTAAAAGCTTCATGAGATAATTTATTGAGATAAAGATGAAAATAAGAATAATACAATGAATAGGTAAAATTTTCAGTATTATTAAGAGATTATCTAAAGCTCAACAAATGGGATAAATGTGAGAAAAGTCAAGTTATGAGTACATTAAGGCTCACTTCCATAAGAGCTTGATGTATTTATTAAGATTTACATAGAACATTTTAATAACTTGGTGAAGTATATGCACAGAATTCTAAAAAAAGTAGATTTCTAATTTAAAATAACTAACAACTGTATTTAATCAACATAATAACATGTACAACTCCTTTTTTCCCTCTCACTGAAGAATCTAGGCACAATTCTATTTGAAAGAATACTTCCAAATTAATTCCAAGCGTTTTGCTATGTTTCTTCTAGGTAAGAATGGGAAAGGTCAAACTTGGGAATTAATCTTTAAGAATTTGAATAACTTCAAGAACTTGCCTATTTTAATAATGGACTGAGTCAGTTAATTCTTCTTCCCATGGAAATTATCAAATAATTCAGTTCTTTCTCTCTTTCTTTTATTATCTGTGTATAAAATGACATATGTTGTATATGTTATATGTTTTAAATTTATTTCCAGCAAATTTTCCTTTGATCATAGCAATTGGTCATTCAGTTGTTAGAGGTGCTTAGGTGAGATTTATGCATGTTCAATTATCTAAAGAAAGCCTTTTAAATCAATGTCACCTCATATTTCAGTTAAGATAGTTCAAATAAAATAGGCATGTGATTGTATTTGTCCATTGAGGGTCTTGTCAAGGCACAAAAGTATTTGGTATTTGTAAAAGTATTGGATCATAACAGTAAATCTGTGAATTACTTAGCTCGACATGTATTCCTACTCTTTCAGCCAGAGATCAGAGAGGCAGGGGATAACGTTTCTCAGATTTCTTTGCTGCTTGTGTGGTTGGTGGCATGTATGCCAATTAAGAACACACATCCCTAAGACTCGGACTGGAACTTGCAAGGAGGGAGGCAGGAGGTGGGGCGGGGTTGTCCATTTTGCTGGTGCAGATCAAGGAGCTGCTGTAACAGCCTTCAGATTCATGGGGTGGCTTCCTGATGATGGAAGTTGATAGAAAAGACCACTCCAGTTTGGTGATCCACCACCATTTTGGGACAAGCCTCGCTGACTGCAAGCCACAACTTCCGCCTTCTGCCTGTAAAACCCTCCCCGGACCTGAGAGAGAACTACTGGCGGGAAAGTTCATCCCCGCCCCTCTCTCTTTCAGTCACGCCCCTTTCACGTTCAGCATCCCTCATTTGCATAAGAACCCACCAGTCAACTCCTATCCCCAGGCAGAAATAACCAAGCCTGTACTCGAGTCTGACTGGAGACTCTCTGCACAGATTTCTCACAATAAACCTGACTCTGCCGTTGAGTCGTCTCTGATCCTTTTTATTCGATTCTAAGAGAAGTTCTTTCTGAAAGCTCAGCCTAGAGAATGTTTCTTTATCTCTCCCCCTACAATTTTGCAAGACACTTAGTCTTGTTTGGTAAATTCTTACATATACTGGCTAGAGCAATGTCTGTTCTTCGCAACACTTGTCCAGTAATTTTTAGAGGTTAATTATGAAAACCACAGTGAGGTAAGGTAGGTAATTAATTTTAAAATGGGACCCAAGGAAAATCATTCATCGTGAATTAAACCCAGCCGGTGTCTCATTCACGGCTTTGAAAATGAGTGCAGACCCATGTTCAGATATTAAACTGAAATTCCACAGTGGTTACAGTGCTTTTCATTAGTTTTCTTTTTTTTCTTTTGCTTGTTCGTTTTGTTTTTTGGTACCATTTTGTCCACTGCTGAGTCACACAACACAGGTTAAATAGCTGGCTTAGATCACAGAATGTCATTTTCCATCAAAATCCATTATGACGTTCGGTCCCTAGCCCTGAAGGCAAATAGCACAAGACATTGATTCCTCCACGGGTTTCTTTCATTAAATGAAATGACTCATTCAGGGTGCTCATTAGCCAGTCCTCGTCTAGACCTCGGGAGCTGACAGAGTTAGGGCCCCAGATAATACCCAGTGATTTATTGCCAGGCTCCAAAGGACCCATTTGCCATCACTCTGTTTCCACTCATTATAGGCTTGGGGTTCAGTAGAAGGAAGATTCCCAAGGAGCTCCATGTACTGCTGCTGTTCGTCCTGTTCTGCACGTCCTCTTTGTTCCCCTTGGTCCTGAGATGGTACCCATCCATTCCGATGAGGTTGGTACCCAGGTCCCTAACGCTGCTGAAGCTGCTGTCTGTCTTTGTATTATTGTTGACTCTCTGCACTGCTTCCTTTAGAGCAGCCTCATTTCTGAGAAGCCAGTTGGTTCATTTACATCCCAATTTTGTTTGCCTGTACTCTTGACACAGTAGAATTTCTTTTAAGGGAGTTGGACTTCCTTAATCAGGTGCCAAGATTTGGCCAGTTTGTTAATTATTCTTATTTATTTTATTAAAGTAGAGTCAATTTATAATCTTGTGGCAATTTCTGGTGTACAGCATAATGTTTCAGTCATACATATACATACATATATTCATTTTCATATTCTTTTTCTTTATTGGTTACTACAAGATATTGAATATAGTTCCCCGTGCTATGCAGAAGAAACTTGTTTACTTATTTTATCTATAGTAGTTAGTATCTGCAAATCTCGAATTCTCAATTTATCCCTTCTAAGGCCACTGCCTACCTGTAAACCATGAGTTTGTTTTCTATGTCTGAGTCTGTTTCTGTTTTGTAAATAAGTTAATTTGCATATAAATATGGAACGCTTCACGAATTTGCATGCCATCCTTACACAGGGGCCATGCTAACCTTTTCTGTATTGGTCCAATTGTAGTATACATGCTGCTGAAGCGAGCACTGCCAGTTGTTTTCTTGGTCCCTAGCACCATGTAGTGGTGGGAAATGAATCCAAACCTCGCCTTTCCTCCCTCAACAAGCAGCAACATTATTCTCATTATTATTCAATACTCTCATCAATATTCATTAGCAACCTCATTCTCCCTCCTGCTGGAAACTCATGGCCTCATTCCCTGCACCTCCATTCAATTGTAGCAGAACTGGATCTGATTCACCTCAGGTGTCGTGGTTTTCTGTCTCATGGCATTTGCTAGATGTCTGCTCATATCCTTCTCATTGCAGAAAGGGTCATAAATGCTAGAAGAGGTTTTCCTTTTTTTTTTTTTTAATTAACATTGCATTTTGGTAAAAGTGCGCTGACAGTTTAATGACATCATAAAGTCATTTCTGTTCTATTTACGATGGTGTGTTACTTTTGGAATATTGTATTTTGCCTGTCATTTTCTAGACATAGCAATTAATCAAGCAGCAATTGTATGTGATGCTTAGAAGACAATGAAAAGTGCTTTCAGTGACTTGGCAACGTGTGATTGATTTTATCATTAATGGGTTTATTCCTGGACTAGCTTGATTGCATTTCCTAAAATACTCTTGGCATCTCCCATCCTCCAGCCACACTGAAAACTGGTGGGCACCACGGCGTGAGCTGCATCTTTATTAACTCAGACTGTGAACTTTTGGTCTTTCAATGGATGCTTTGCCAGATAACTGAAACTAGTTTAGGCTCTGCCAACTGGTTCTTAGTTTTCTTTTAAAGTGAGGCTCTGCAGAAATGAAACTACCAAGGGGAAAAAAAAAAGCCTTCTGGAGTTGAAGGCAAGTTGGCAAAATAGCAGTTGATCTCTATTTCCTGTTTATACGTATGGGAAAAGTCAGTGCTTTGCCTTTGTTCTTCTTTTTCATGCAAATAAATACACCCAAGGTTGACCGTCTATATAATACATTTAAGGCGATGAAGAAGGCTGGGTAGTTGTCAGATCTGCTTTAAGCATCACTGGAAAGAACTGTGTGACCAAGTGGAAGCTTTGGTGTTATCAAGATCTCTGTGTAAACCCTGGACCTGCCACTTAGTAGCTGTGTGTCCTCAAAGCAAGTTATTTCAACTTTGAAGCAGAGTCTTCTCATCTGTAAAATGGGGAGTGGTAATTCCAACAATGTTATTGTCTTAATAGATTATCTAGGGTTAAATGATTAATACCCTATAAATACAATGCTTTGTACAGCTCCTTAAAAGGTCTCAATTACTGGTTGCTGGCCGTGTTTAGCTTAATAATCCAGAGTGATGGTTTTCATATAATGGGACATTTCAGTTTTGAGTATACACACATCATAAAACTGGAACCAACAGTGCTTTAAATGATTTGACTGGCAGCTGAGAACTGAGAGTTGGACAAGCTCACCATCACACAGCTGATCAGTGACAAGAATGACACTCCAACAAGTGGCCCAACTTCCTGGAAAACGTGTTCTCCTCAAAACTTTGCTAATTTATCCCAAATGCCCTCTTTCCACCTAAGTTTGCCAGATTTAGGAAATAAAAATACATTGTGCTCAGTTCATTTTGAAATTCATATAGACATCAACAAATTTTTTAGCTTAAGAACTCTCCACGCAATATCTAGGCCATACTTAAATGCTAAAATCTGCAGTACTAGATAATATGCAATTCTAAATAATACTAAAATACACAATACCAAGCAAACTAAAAAACCCTGCAATTTTTACAACACATTTATATTAAAAATTACTTATGGTTTGTCTGAAATCCCAGTTGAACTGAGTACCCTGTATTTTATCTGATTAATTTTCATCAACAGTGTTTTAGAAACAGTGTTAAGTCTTATATTCATTTTTTTTTCCATTCCCGGCAATCCTAGTTCACTTTCCAGCCATCTAAGTTGTCTACAAAGCAGTTGTATACAAGGCATAGCCATAAATGGATGTGATAAATCCACATAAACACCATATAAAACCCAAATCTCATTACTCTCCTGCCACTGTCTCAGTCTCGCCACAAAAATGTTATCCCTTCTTCTTGGTATGTGTTCCATGGTCATCTAAGTGTTAATGGAGGCTTCACAGGTTATCCTATAATTATGTTTGGACCTTATGATCTAAGGGTTGTATACGGAAAATCCAGGCTGGGAAAACACTATTGGTTAACTTATAAGACGTAAGTCCAAATGATCACTTTAATTTTGGACCTGGCTGTTTTCCTGGAATTCATTTCAATGTTCCATTTTTTCCCACTAAGCTGAAGAACAGAAAGCCTGAAGTGGGTTCAGCCAATTCATCATTCACTGGACCAGGGAGGTGCAGTTTGCTGCCAACCAGCTTGTCCCCATAGCCTCTGAGGATGCTTACACCTCTGGTGTGTCATCATCCTTCAGTTCTGAATGCTGCCTGCAATCAAAGGGCACCATGGGAAGGAGCTCTTAGAAATGTGTTGCCACATCAATTGACATGGACCTTAAGACTGTGGCTTGCGTTGCTCCTATGGCTCATCAAACTGTGTCTGAACTTCCTTTTATTCTGAAGATTTAATTCAAGGACTCTTAGGCCAAATTGCTTTCTTGTATTAAATGAGAAGTTTTACCCTCTCAAAGAGAAGGAGCTGGAGAGGAAGCCGTCAGAACGAAGATTCACACAGCTGCCTTAATACAGTTGTTTCTCTCCGCTTTTCCACAGCACTTCTCATTTGTTTGCCGTGGTCACTGAGATTGTAAAAAGTGAGGAGAAACATGAAAGCATCTCAGCCAGAACTGTTCTTTTTTGTTGAAGAAAGGATGAGTTCATTCACAGCGTATCGTAACAGTCATTCCTCCACCTCAGCAACGAGTGAAAAAATGCATGATACGTTGTGAGGTTACATCCTGGAGAATCTGCGAACCCTCTGATAATCTTACAGCATCTCATTCAAAAACAGTCAACCGCAGAAGGCAGATGTTACTCAGCTGACTTCTGGAAGTTCTGATGCCGTATGATTGTACTGGGCAAAATGTTCACGGCTTAAGTTTAAATGGCCGAAACAGTACATTGAGAAGCAATGTAGGTACAGCAAAAACAATGACAACGACAACGACAATGACAACAACAACAATGATTTTGAATTTTGGTGCCTGGATTCTCGTTGCTCCACAAACTAATTGTCCTTCAGTGCCAGGTCTCTTCCATCTAGGTAGAGTTTTGTTTCCTTCACTTATAAGTAGAAATTGTAGCCTGATAATTGTAACTTAAGCTGGTCTCTTTGAAAATATAGAAGAATTCTTCAATTTTCTCTATCGTAATTCACATAAAATCTGTCAGCAAATTACGTTGCACTGTTATTCAAATATTTCCTGATTTTAATCCCTGTGTGAGCCATCTTTCCTGCTGCCATTCTGGTGCAGGTGCTCTCATCTCCTGCCTGAGTTTATTGCGTGAGACTCCTCCCTGGTCTCCCTTCTTGCACCTTTACCTATGTCTCACCTTTAAAAATCATCCTTTAAAAATATGAATCAGATCCTTTTGCACTCAAGACTGTCCAGTAGTTTCCATCTCATTCAAAGTCAAAGTCAGGGTCCTTCCAGTGACCCATCAGCAGGACATTTCATACAAGAGAAGAATTAACAAGAATCGTGGGTTAAAATTCATATGCTGAGACATCCTCTTTATAATACATTCCATACAATCTACACTGGACGTGCATTTTCTTGGGGAAATATATACATGTTTCCTTCAGATATTACAGGAAGATTTGGGGCCAGATATAGATCAGAGCAAACATGACTTTTTAGGAGTCAATATTAAGTAATTCGATATTTCAAACAGTCATTTACTGCTTTCATGATTTTTGCTAACTGTATTTGAACTATAATATTGTTTATTTAATTTTTTATTTAAATAGGCTATGTCTAGTTAACAGCCTGAATATATAGGCAATTAAATTATGGATTCGAGGTGCCAGTTTTTCTCTAATACATGTTAAACAAATAAAAATTCAAAATGTTACAAAGCCTATCCACATACCAGTGGAAATTGCCAAGATTTTCAGACATGAGGTGTGCATTTCTTATACGTTTGCCTTGATTTGGAAAACACTGCTAGAACAGAAAAGAACTAACCTTTGAGAAGGCTTAGAGGAGACTTTAAGTCTTTGAGGAGACTTATCTGTATGATCCAGATGCCTGTATTATGCTTATGTATAATATTTATCTATAAGCTGGAAATAAAAAAAATACATATTTTGGCTAAATGTCAACATGAGCGAGCAGTAAAAAGAAATATTCTGCTGAAGCAAAATACTTTTTTCAAAAATTAAGTTTATGATCTACAAGAAGTGTATTAATCAAAGTGAGCTAGAGAAATAGAACCAGTAGGTGATTATTGATTGATTCAAGTTTGAGTACGAGGAATTGGCTCACACAGTTATGAAGACTGTGAAGTTCCAATGATCTAACTTCTGCAAACTGGAACCTGGGAAAGCTGGTGTTGTAATTTAGTCCAAATCCAAAGGCCTGAGAACCTGGGGAGCCGATGGTGTAAATCCCAGTCTGAGGGTCAGAGATGATTAAATGAGGTATCCCAGCTCAATTAACTCAACACCCCCCCCCAAAAAAGGGTAAAATTCCTTCCTCTGCTTTTTGTTCTATGCAGATCCTTAATGGATCAGATGATGCTCATGCACATTGGGGAGGGCAACTTACTTAAACTGAGTCCACTGATTCACAGGCTAATCTCATCCTGAAACACCCTTGTAGACACCCAGAAATAACGCTTAACCTGGGTACCCTGTGGTTAGTCAAGTTGGCACACACATTTACCCATCACCAGAAGATATCTGAAATTTTATCAGAATATTAATTTTTTAAATGGAGGTACTGGGGATTGAACCCAAGACCTCATGCATGCTAAGTATGCACTTTACCACTGAGCTATTCCCACCCCTCCCAAAATATTAATTTCTGATCATGCTTTTTTAAGAAAAAAATGTTAACATTCAAAACAAAATCAAAATGCCTT